CTGGTGCTGCCTGGGCCCTGCCACACCCAATTCCTGGTGCCTGCTGAGTTGTGTCATCCTGGCTCAGTGCCAGGAAAGTGGCATTTCAGAGGCTGCTCCTGGAGCAGTAAACAAAGTGAGAGAGAGGGGGGGGTGCTGATACCACTGAAATGCTGACATCTCTGAGGAACCTGAGCCCGAGGCTCTGCTGGGAGCCTGCGAACGCCTTCTGACTCCACTTACCCCGGGCACGCTGATGCGTTTCTGATCTCCAGCTCGGCGCGGTTAACTCCCGCAGGTGCCCCTCGCTCACCTGCCAGGGAGAGAGGAGAGTGTGGTCAGTTAAAGAACAAACACCCAGGCGTGTGCAATAACCTCCATTTAGGGCCAGATCCAAACCCTGGGCAGCACCTGCAGAGTCTCCTTTGAACTCAAGGAAAACTGGGAAGAGGCAACAGGAAAATGGAATTTAATCGTACAAACTTCTGCTAAGTGCAATGTTTTTGGCAGGAGGGGTTTCGTAGTTCTCTAAGAACATCTAATCTTCCTGCAAATTGATACGACTAATAGTGGGCATTTTTATTCCCAGAAATCCTGGCTTGCAGTTTCCTTTTTCAGGGTCCAGAAAAGCTTTAATTCTGTGACACGTTTGTTTGTGGTTTTTTTTTTTCCCTACAAAAATATTTCATATTTAATTCGAGATTTTATGTCTTAAAACTTTGTCGACCGTTGCGCGGCGGCAAGCGAGGGAGACGATGGCGAGTTAATCATTTCTGGCTGGGAAAGCACGCAAAGAACTTGTTGGTTCAGCAGAGCCAGGAGCGAGCCGGCCTGTAACTCGGAGATGGAGCTGCAATCAGCTGCTAGTTGTGTTTAACTCGGTGTGCTGGATGCAAATATCTGACTGATTCCATTGCCTGGGAGGGTTTTGTTTGGGTTTTGCTGAAATTGTTGTGTCTGCGCGTTGTGGAGTCGATGGGAAGAGGGGAAGGGAAACCCTCCCAGCCCGAACAAACATCAACATTAATTTTGAAATGTTTGCTCTCCCTCACACCTCGTTCTCACCCCCAGGTTTGTTGTACTACGCCGGGCACGGCTACGAGAACTACGGCAACAGCTTCCTGGTGCCGGTGGACGCTCCGTGCCCGTACGGCTCCGGGAACTGCCTGTGCGTGCAGGACATCCTGGGCAGGATGCAGGCCAAGCACACGGGGCTCAACGTCTTCCTGCTCGACATGTGCCGCAAAAGGTGCCACACCTGGCGGGGAGGGTGGAGGGGGTGGTTGATTGTAAGTTCTAAGCTGTTGGTTTGAGTCGATGAAATTGTAGAAGAAACACGATCCTTTCCCCTCGCGTCGTTATCCGGGGGGAAGGAGGATGCCGGCCGTCGATGGCACGTTCATTTGGCTCGAGGGGAGGGCTTATTTTAGACCTTCTTCAGAGCTTTTTCTGCTGGTCTTTATTTAGAGCTTGAAATGCTGACTGATTTATGGGCTTTCTCTAAACAAAGCAGTTCTTCCTGTGTGCTGAGGAACTGCGGTGCCCTGGAAGTCAGCTCTGCAATCAGCACTTCTGCTCTCCAAGGAATGTTTTGTAGCAGAGGAGCTCTGGTGCCTCAGTGTCTGTGGGCCCAATTCACGCTCACAATCTGCAACCCAAATAGAAAATCCATCTACGTGAGCCTCGTGCTGACTCTGCAGACACCACGTGTATGTGTGTGTGTGTGAAAATTACTGAAAAATCACAGCTTTTGGTGTCACCTGAAACGGGCAGTTATCAGAGATGGGGTTTTGCAGATTATAGACAAATTCTGACAGTGACTGGAAGGTGGTGCTGCTGAGTTTTGCCTTTGAGCAGTCAGGGTTCGTTCCCAGAACTGCGGGAGCGAATCAGATTTGCCGGTTCTGGCGGTTTCAATCTGTCACCTTTCTTAATTCTCAACTCAGGAACTTTCCCTTCCTCCTGTTCCCAGGAACGAATACGACGACACAGTTCTCGTTTTGGACGCCCTGAAGGTCACAGCCAACATTGTTTTTGGATACGCCACGTAAGGAGATGTTTCTTCTTCTCCTGAGCTTGTTCAGGTGGTGATTAACAGCCCAGTCACCTCGGTCAGTTGGCAAGGGGGAGCGCAAAAGCTGCTGGATGGGAGGAGATTCTCGCCCCTCTTCCTGCCCTAACTTCACTCTCGATCCTGCAGATGTTTCCAGTGCTCTCTCCTCGTCTCATCACCTCGCAGGTGCCAAGGGGCAGAAGCTTTCGAGATCCAGCAGTCGGGCTTGGCCAACGGCGTCTTCGTGAAGTTCCTGAAGGAGCGGCTGCTGGAGGACAAGAAGATCACGGTGCTGCTGGATGAGGTGGCAGAAGGTGAGCTACGGTGGTGACAGTGAAAGTGGAAGTAGTGCTGGTGGTTCCTGCTGGCAGCCTTTGCACAAGAGTGCAGTGCTGGCTCGTGCTCAGCTTGGTGGCCACCAGGGCCCATTGTCAATGCTGGAAATACTCCCCTTGCCCCCCCCCCAGTCGTTTAGAAGTCTCTCGGCCTGGAATTATTCACCTTCTGGGAATCAATCACTCTGATGAATTCCTTACCCAGTCGGGGCTGTGATGCTGCTTGAGCTGGCATCGAGGAGCAGGGCAGGCCCCCTGGGAACCCTCAGGGTTCTGCAGCAGCAGGAAGGGTGTTTAGGCCTTCAGGGTGGGAAGAGCCGAGCGAGGAACGCTCGTTAATCCGCAACTTGGGACGGACGCGCCAGCACCGAAATTGCATCGACCGCGCGGCGCTGCGGCGAGGGGTCCTGACTTCATCTGGGAGTGCAGCAGCGGTGATTTTTCTTTCAGATATGGGCAGGTGCCCCCTGACCAGAGGCAGGCAGGCCCTGGAGATCCACAGCAGCCTGTCGGAGAGGAGGGCCCTGAGCGACCCCGTGCAGCGAAGCTCGGCCTCGGCAGCGGCGCTGGCGCGGAACCTGCAGTGGGCAAAGGCGCACGGTACGGGGCGTGTCCTGCTCCTGGGATAGTTGGTGTGTCTGACTAAGAGAGCCTTAATCTCCTCCTAAAGTCACCCCCTGAAACAGGCAGGCAGACTGCGTGGTAAATGTGCAGGAGATGAAAAGGGGGTTTTCAACGTGAGGATAATTTGAGAGAGGTACGAAACGCCGAGTTACCTTCAGGCTGTGACGCCGTGTCCCCTTCCCAGAGCTCCCAGAGAGCACGTTCCTCGACTTCAGGTGCGGCGTGGGGATCCAGCTGGGCTTCGCCGCCGAGTTCTCCAACGTGCTGATCATCTACACGCGGATCGTCAGGAAACCCCCCGAGGTGGCCGCCTGCACAGCCCACGTCGCCGACTTCCCCCCCGTAAGTGGGGGCTCCTCTCGCTCCCCTCGGGCTCAAAGTGTCCCCTCCCAGCACCAAAATGGGTCCAAACTGTCGGAACTTTCCTAAAAGGGAAAGAAATTTGTGCTGTTTCCCTGAGCTGCAAATTCTCCATCACCTCCATTTAAGTTCTTGCTTTTTTTTCCCGCGGCAGGACCTGGATGTGGATCCCAAACTGGCGAATAAAGGAACTCCTGAGGAAACTGGGAGCTATTTGGTGTCCAAGGAGCTTCCCAAACACTGCCTCTACACCAGGCTGAGCTCACTGCAGAAACTAAAGGTTAATTAATTTATATAGATATATATTTATCCCTGGGGTTGATTGTGCAGATAACTGACACTGTTTGGACTGGGAGGTGAAGTTGTTCTTCCCTCTTTTTTCCAGGAAAACCTGGTCTTCACTGTTTGCCTGCACTACGAGTACTCAGGAATGGAAGAGCCCGTGGAGGAGAGGAAGGAGGTTAACCTGGGGAAGCCCCTCATCGCTAAATTAGGCCTCCATCACGGCCTCAAACCCACCAACTGTCCCCACGCCTGTTATCCTTTCCGGAATCCCACGGAATCCAGCCTTGGACAAGCAGCAAAATACCACATCCCCAATCCCTGCCCACCGATCTCCCGCCCGGCCGGCGTCGCGCCGCCGCGGGCGTGTTCCTGCCACGGCGATTCCGGGATGTCCGCTCCCGGGTGGGAATTTTGGGACTGGTGCCCCGCCGTGGGAAACAGCAACGTGCCAGTGGAGAGCACTGATGACACTGCTGAGCTGGGATTGCTGCTCGCTGACAGCCTCAGCTGCTCTGAGCAGCGGTAGCCGTGGTGGGGAACAGCCCCCCAGTGCCACCCTGGGATGAACTGGGGACATCTCCTGGAATTGGGGACATCCCCGCTGCTCCTCTGGACTTTGTGGGGGTTCAGGGGATGAGAATTTCTCAGGACTGATAGATTTAGGAATGAAAAGAAAACAAAGAGACCCACAGATCATCAGAGGGAGCAAAGTGACAGGTTGTGTGACTGGATTATTGTGGTGCTCTGTTCTTACTGGGATTGTTTTTGGCCACATATTTGAGATTTTTGCTGATAGGAGAGCTGGGAAGGTGGGAAGTCTGGGGTCAGCAGGTACAGGGGGGGGATCTGAGTGGCCTCTGAGGATCTGTGCCTGTGGTGCCTGACAGATAAACACAGCCCAGTGACCAGAAAGAACAGCAGGGACTGGGATTCCCAGCAGGAATCCTCATTAGGCCGCAGCCTTGATTAATGATTCCCGGGCAGTGAAAGTTCCCCTGGAGCTTCTCAGCTCCCAGGCACTCCTGTTGCCTCAGGATCCGCTGCTTCCCAGCTACCAGATGGCCTTGGAATGTTATTTTGTCAGCGGAGCGATGGGATTGTTCCTGGACTGGTGTTGAGCGAAATTCCAGTTGATTCCCGGCAGGCTGGGAGCGGGAGGGAGGTTGGGTGATGGCTGGGCTGGGACATGCAGAGTGTCCCATCTGCAGCGCACAGGGGGCTGGCAGTGGGCTGATAACCCCTTGTCTGTCAGCATTCAGAGTGTCAATGAATTTACAGGGACCTTTTTTTATATATATATATATATTTACATGGATGTGTTTCTCTCTGTGTGAATTGATTTCAAATCCCCAAGGGGAAGTACAGCTTTTATATTTATATTTATATTAAACCTGGCTTTGCCAAAACCTTTAAGGGTGGTCCTTAAACTGACCTAAACCACTGGGACTTGCTGACACAACTCAGCCCGTGGCAGGAAGAGTTTGCAGATCATCTGTCTGATCTGGTGTTTTTTTTTTTCGGCCTGAAGTGCAATTATTTGGAGATGATCTTTGTTTTCTTGCCGAAAGGATCTGGCTGGTGTGAGAGATCTCAGGGCTGCTGTTGCTGCCTCTGCAGTTACAGCTCTTTGCTGATGCACCCACCGCTCCCCCTCAATCTGGCAGCTAATTAGGAGCTTTGGCAAGTGAAGTTTCTGGGCCACGTTCACCTTGACACAAATTCCTGGCTGCTGCCAGGATGAGGCTTTTATTCCAGTGTTCTATCCTTCCCTGCATATCAGGCAGAGGGGGATGTGACTTGGAGATGGTTTGGGAGGACGGGTTGGGAATGTGAGGGAGTTTGGTTTATTTTTAAAAAAAAAAAAAGATAGATCACCCTGTTAGTTTACTAATTGCAGCAGTCTGGTTCTGCTTCCTGTGCCGGTGCCTCACCACCCTCCCAGGCAAGGATTCCTTCCTTTTATCCGCTCTTAACCCTGCCCTCTGTCGGTGTGAAAGCATCCTCATCCCTCGTGCTGGTGAATAGTTAATAGTATCTACCAGGGCTGCCTTGAGAACGGCATCAGGAATATTTTCCCCGAATCCCAGCGATGCCGAGTCACTGGTGTGACAGCAGCTCCTCGAAGCTGGCAGATGGTGGCTCTGCAAGGAAACAGGTTTTCTTGCCTCGCCCCTCAGACTGAGCAAAAGAGAGCTCGGCCGCGGCATCTGCTGATGGAAGAGTTCCTGCTAAACTCCATCTGCCTGCCAGCTCCGAGATGGGCAGACCGTGGGGGGGGGGTAGAAGGTACAAAAGGTAGAATTTAGAATTAGAATGAGATGGCTCCAAGTTTAAATTATGGAAGGGGTGGGCATTTTTGGACAGCTCTGAGCGACATAAACCCCCCCCCCCCCCGAGTGGAAGGGCTGATGCTCAGCAGTTGAGTTTGCAGCCTGCGTTGCTATCTGCACCCACGCAGCGCCGAACCTGAAGCCGGGCCGGTTGTTGCGCTGACCACAGGCTCACCAGGGGAGCAGATGGTTTAGGTTGGGGGGTGTTGTTAAACATTTTAGTGGGGCAGGAGAGCGCTGGCTGGGCTGAGATGGAAATGGTGGTAAATAGCCCCGGCGTGTCCCGGGGAAGGATCAAAAACCAGGTCACAGCGAGCAGGGGGG